TTTGGTCACCCGGCTACTTTTATTTTTTAAATTTTATGTAACAATTCTGTCAAACTAACTGTCAGTATATTTTGGAATTATTGAGATAAAATGGCAAGTGTGACGATGGCGTGAGGACACGGAGTTTATCTCCAAGCGAGAGGCCCGAGTTCAAATCAGGGCTGGGGACTAATTAAATTAAATCTTTTTGTATTTTTATTTTATAAATTAGTAAAAGTCTTATATTATTTTAAAATTATTTATTTTGTCTTAATAAAATACTTTTTTAAATTTGTAGAATTTCGTTAGTGTGTCGTAGAAAAAATATACTATACAACTAGAGTGGATTGTCCATATCGCACTCAGACGATTAGGCACTCCGTCTACGGCGTCGTTCTTAAACTTCGTCTTCGTGCAATATGGCCATCATATCCAATTTTGTTGCACAAACTACTATTCACGCACAGACTACAAAACGAAAAAATATATTATTGCGTTCAACTCAACGAATATATTTCATATCCGTTCTAGGTAGTGAGAACACTGCAAAAAAATTAAATCCACCAATCACAGTTTATATATTGGACACCCAACTACTATTATTTTTAAAATTTTAAATAAGTGACAATTCTGTCAAACTAATTGTCAGTATATTTTTTAGGTATTGAAATTAAACATACATTAAAATGAGTTAATTTTTATGTAGAATCCATAAATAATTTTAATTTATTTTTATTTGGACCACATTTAAAAAAATCTTAAATTTGAATCAAACTACATATATGAAACTAATTTAATTTCTACTATTAGAACTAAAATTTTAAATGTGGAGGTGAAAATGAGGATACGGCATCTGTCTTTCAGGCTAGAGGCCCGAGTTCAAATCTGGGCTGGGGACTAATTAAATTAAATATTTTTTCATGTTTATTTTATTTCACAAATTAGTGAAGTCATAAATTATTTTAAAATTAGTTATTTTCTCTTTTCCTAAAATAAATTTGTAGATTTTCGTTAGTGGGTCGTAGAAAAAAATATACTGTACAACTCCAGTGGATTGTCCACTGTTGTTGCACAAACTAGTATCAAATGGATTATTATTTAAAAAACGTGTTTTTATACAGGGGATTTGTAAATAAGTACGGAAGATTTTTACAAATTGTTATCAAAGTTATTTTGTTAAAAAAAGTTCCTATAAAAAATTTTAATTTAATAAATTTTATTAATTATTTCAAATAGTTTTAAAGATATTTACTCTAAATTTGCAAAAAAAACTTTGAAGAGACAAATAAGTATTTTTTTGGGGTGTTCCAAATATTTCTACTTGTACCAGTGGGTTTGTGCGAGAATGCCACTTTTTTTATAAAATAACTTCGGCAAACATTCCCTAAAATCATTCACACTTACCAACAAACACCCTGTACATAAGAAAATGTAGAAATAGGTACTTTTTAGATATTTTTCCGAAATAATCATAGAAAATACATATGCATATTTAAAAATATATTTCGTAAATAAATTAATTAGTTAGAAAAAAGATTTTCGAAAATGTTACACCAGGTTATACCTTTAAAAAATATTTTAAACGAGAAAACAAAACAGAAATACTCTTTGTTAGACCGGACCTGCGATTTATCGGCCTTTTTTATATTTTAAATCATCTATAGTTTATAAGTAATAAATTGAAGGGAGCGTAAGTCAGGGAATAGAGCAACGTTGCCAAAGTGGGTTCAGATGCACTAAAAGTTGTCAGTGTGTTCTAAACCTGAATTTGCTGTTAGGTAGCGCATGGATATCGCTCTTAAGGACAGACACAATCTTTAATAAAGTCAGTTTTAGAACATAAACGATCTGCGCATGCTTAGAAGTCAAAGTAAGAGCGGCACTAATAGTGACTGACCAGGGAGAGATATCGCGCATGCTGTCATGGCGGCGATGACGTCATGCGCAGAGTTAGTCGAGTTGACGCGAAATAAATATCATATGACAGACGCATGTTGCAGTAGTTTGTGAGTCGTTTATAGTGATTTATAAGATATTTAACAGATATTTGTATTATATTATGTTGTAAACTTTGTTCTCTGTGAGTGGTTTTAGTGAAAAACATTGAAAACTTGCGGTACGGATGTAACAGTAACAATTAAAGCAAAGGATTCATGAAAGATATTATGGTTTTTCGCTTTCCTTGACAGTAAGAGCTTAGTCAGGAGTGGCCCAAAGGCGGCTCCAGCGGAGGATCAGGGGAGCATGCCGTTCCCTAGATTAAAATTCTTAAAATCTGTGAGCCTTTTATTAAAAAAAAATATGCTAAATAGGCAATTCTACCCTCCTTCCCAAGAAAATTGGTGCAGCCCTTGCAGTGGCTTGTAACAATGCAGATAAATTTTCATATTTATTCCAAATACTTTCAACCTTCCAATTATAAGAGGTACCTCAAATCAGAACTTCACATTGGTTCATTCGCAACTTCTAAACTGTAGACTCTACCCTTTGAAGGCTAAAAATTTCCCAATATAAGCAAAAGAGAAATTGTAAATGTCGCAAAAAAAAGAAAATTTCGACATGTACGTGATAAATGAATTTAAAAAACTGTCAGCGACTATGTCCAGGAAAATTGCAGCGACATTTTATTTTAATTTTGTATATGCACCCACAATATGTCATGTAGCTGTTATTTGTATTTCATACATTTTTTATGCTTTATATTATATTATATGAGAACACATATTTTTTAAAACTTATTTTTATTCAATTGTGTAATATAATGCAGGCAAATAAGTAAAAAGGTAAAATTTTTCGGTATATCCAAATGCGAAATTGTTACCAGTATCCCCAGTTTCGAGTTGTGAAGGTACTCTTTTCCTTATCCTGGTTATAAAAACTATTCTATAGAAGTCGAATTTGTATATCCAAAATAAATCATTAAAAAAGAAAAATAAAAAAAAAACTGTTCAAATAAATACTTCTTTTATATATGTATTTGCATTTATGTTCCTTCATAGTCCTTTCCCTAACTATCCCATAATAGATATTTCATGTCATTTCTAAAATAGTACCCTTAATATTTATGAAATTTCCTCACATTTCGTCAGTATTTCTAAATTCACGCCTATAGAAACTCTACGAGTGACGCCATGCGCGTGGCCGTCCTATTTTTGACACTGTTGATATCCCACCTTTTATTTTTTATACCATGGTGACTGACCTTAAGTGAACTTGCAATAACTTTCTATTAAGTCTTGCTTCAAGATTAAATTTAATTTGCTTTAACTAAAATACTTCTAATTAAATAAAGACTATCTCACTCAATTGCAGTATTATGTACATTTTAAATAACATACTCTTACACTTTTTTAAATATGCTTTTTATTAAATCAAGAAATTATTATATAGGGTGTTCCTAAACATCACGTCATAATTGAAGGAGGTAATTCCTTGGCACAATTTATGACTAACAGTTTATATATACATGTGTCCTAAATTACATTGTTTCAAAGATACAGGGTGTTAAAATTTTTAAAAATAATCAATTTTTCGATAAAAATGCAAAAAAATGAAAAACTCAAAATACAAGAAAGTTGAGTTTTGAATTTGATAATTCGAAGACCAAATATAAAATATGGAAAACCACAGTGGTGTGCTATTTTTGTCAAAAATATCAATAAGGTTGTCTTTGGAATTGATAATTTCGATCTAATTAATTCTAAATCAGCCTCTTACTTAAACAAACAAATGTACCAAATTTTCTCAAAATCGGCAAAAGAATATTTACGATATTGATGAAAAACTGATTATTTTTGAAAATTTAAACACCCTGTATTTTCGAAACAAAACAAATTAGGACACATGTTTATATGAACTTTAAGTCATAATATGAGCCAAGAAATTACCTCCTTCAATTATGACATGATGTTTAGAAACACCTTGTATAACAAAATAAATTGTAACGGTTAAGTTTAATACAAAAATTATATTCAATAATACCTTGTTCTTAAATCCAGCACAACTAAATTTGTTACAATAATAATATGAATCTTGAAATAAGAAATAAGAATAGGCTGTTCTTGTTTTAAATTATGTCTAAATATTAAACCAAAATTGGTATCTTTTTAATAGCGTTTTCACCGAAAGACATTTTTCAAAATTGTTTTTAGTTAATGTACCAAATTCCTCTGTCCTCTGTGGTGTCCCACCGATAACTAAAAAATATAATTTTATACCTAACTACAAAACCTAAATGGAATATAAAAGTCTATCCTATGCAATAGAGTTTCAAGCCACATGCAAGCCATTTAGAGTAAAGATCGTTTACATTTTAAAAGTAAAAGCACATACATTAATTGAACTATGATTAAGTGTAATGACATTTATGCTATTATATTCATATTTTTTCTTTAAAATTGCAATATTTTGATAAAAAATTAAGAAAAGATACATGTGGAATGAAAAAATAACAATATTTGATATTGCAAATATCTCCAAAGGCGATATAGACTCAAAAAGTGTTTTAAGATGCTTAACATGTTATTGCGTATCTATCTTACAGGTAAGAGAGTAATAGGCACTATGTGTTATGTACATAACATTATATTGCATAAGTTGGATTTCAGACATAATTGTATTATATTTTCATGTCAGGTAGGTAGTCTAAAATTGTTTTGCAGAATTAAAATCATATCAGTGTTATTATTTTTTATTAATAATTGGTCATTTTAAGCAAAATAAAATTCAACTCTTCATTTATCTAGACAAGTCAAGAAACGTAACTTGAAAACAAAAACTATAAACTAACAAAATTTTGGGACTTAATAGTAGCAACATATAATCAAAAATATCAATACACATTTTCATATTTAAGAAAAACCTTTTTGGTATTTTTTTACAGAAACTTCAAATGAAAGATTATTTATTTATATTATAATCTTATCAACAATAGTATTGCACGACATAACCTAATTAACAAAAAAAAAGAAAATATAGTAAAATCCTTAGCTATCATATTTATTTGGCAATATTTTTTGGCATTTTAAAATCATAAAAGACTACTACCCAGTATTTCTATTCCACATCGCCTTCTAAATAATTATTTTCTTCAACATGAAAATCAATGGATGGACCAAATCCTGCTGCATCATCATCAAAATCCCCAGGTGTAACTGTTCTTAAAAATTCGTAGAAGCTTTTTGAGTCATTTGGAACCAGTTTCATCATCTCTTTTAAGTCTTTTATTTTCGCAACAGATAATTCACGACCATCGGGCCATAATAACGGTAATTCGGTGTCAAACGTTGTTTTATTTTTACGACTACCTTTGGATATGTCAACAATTTGCGGGTTATCTCCAAGTCTGCATTTCATATACAGTTTGAAAGGATTATCTTTTTGTAACTCTATTTCACAAGTATTTAACCAAGAAATTTTATTTTTTTCAATATCCAACTTGCGATTGGTAATTAATTTCTGAAGAGGAGATACTGATAGAAAATCAGTTTTACCTAGCCTGGTTACTACAAACGGATTTTTGCGTCGGCAATTTGTCATAACGTGAATGTAATCCTTATCTGTGTAGAGACGATTATGAGTTTTTAAAGCACATTCAACGTCTCCAAACTCAGAATCATTCGGCAGAAAAGTGTGACCGGGCTGTAAAAATCGTAAGGTAATAGTTTTAAGAGTAATGTGATTTTGAAGAATATGTTGAAGCATTAAAATCATTTTAATGCTACGGTTTTGGCCACCACAAGAATCTGCCCAGAGTATTAATCTAGAGGCCGTAGTCTTTAAATGCTCAAAAATAAACTTTCTAAGACATGATCCCACTTCTTGCGTTCCGCGACTCGCTTCATATTCCAGCCAAACGTAAAAATATCCTTTACCACTGCTACCACAATGTATTCCCTGATTAAATAAATTCAACTGCCTTTTATAATAGACGATACTTGTTGGTAGCCGTGGTAAACTGTGAGTTTTCTCTAGGTCAAACGTAAGTGTCTCAATGGCTGGATCTGTTTTAGCAAGCTTTAAATCATCCTTCATTTGTTTTCTCAAAGCATGAGCATGATTTAAATGATCGTCATGTTGACTTTTTAATAGATTTAGGTCATCGCCATAGGTTGATTGTATTTTCACTTTAAAAGTATCGCAACGTAAACAGGTATCTTTCTGAGGTTTTTTAAATCGAAGATTAAAAGAAGTATAAAATATTTTCTTTAATTTGGACAGACGTACACCATTTGGATATTTTTGATTATAGAGGTTATATAAAATTTGTAAATTAAGGTTGGGTGATAAAAATTTGGCTGTAGTAGGATTGCGTGTATAATGCGAAATATATCTAGGCATACTATCAATAAACAATTTAACTTCATTGAGCTTTTCTTCCGAAATTGAATTTCTTCCTCCAGAATTTGTTCCACGTTTATCATTTATTGGTTCATTAGCTTTAAATTTTGACAACGCAAAATCAATTCTGGTCTGACTAATACCTAGTGTTTTAAGGTAAGTATTTTTGCAAACTTCAACATTCGAAAAATAGTACTGCCTACTAAACTGCCTTTTAGAGTTTGCGGAGTAACTTCTTTTCTTATTTACTTCTTTGACACTTCCTTGCATCAAAGCACATCTCGCTTCATATGACCCAGCTTTCCAAAATTTCTCAAATTCCGCTCGACGTATTTCTGCAGATATTTTTTCAGTACACTTCCTTCGACACTCGCAGTTAAAATCTAAAAATTCTCTGACAGCAACTTTTTTTCCTTTTGCATTAAAGTGTTCTTGGTTGGTATTTGCTTTTCTCTTTCGAATTTGCCTATTCTGATGGGGATATTTTCGTTTTCTTCCTTGCTTTGGTCTACCTTGTGTATTTTCATTAGAGTTCTCTTCTTTACTGTCACTACGTTTATTTTCGGGTATAAAATCTGGATCTTCTAAAATACCTTGAATGTCACTGTCGCTGTCATGCTTTTCTTCTTCTTGGCCATTGTCGTTATCATTATCAGTTCTATTTTTACTTTGTAAAACAGAAAAAACACCACCTCTTCGAACAGGATTTCCAACATCGGGATCAGGAGTTTTTAAGGGCTGCTCCAACTCTACTTGATCGTTGTTCTGGATATCATTTGTAGTAAATATATCACTTGGAAAACAGACATTTGGGCACATGTCGAGATTAAATTCTGAAGCAGCTTTTAGTTCGGTATATATAATATTATCCTCATTTTCGGGTACATCTGATGACAATACTGGAAGGTTTGGAACATTATCTAAATTTGCTTGATTTTCTAACTCCGTTATATTGCCATCAATATTATCACTTTCTAACAATGATATGTTTAATAAGCTGCAACTTGAAGCATCAGAATTTTTTATTATGGCTTGCATGAGGTCTTCATCGGGTTCAAAAATAATGTTTGAAATTCCATAAGGTGTAATGTCTGATAAAGGAGCGCTGACTTCAAAGCTTCTTTTAGTATTTTGTGGACTAGAATTCCTAAGCTTGTTTAGAGGTTTCATTTTTGTTTCCATAATTTTATTAGGTGTGACTTCTAATATAGGAGTACTAACAATATGGTTTTCATTATTATTTTTGGACTTGCAGATTTCAACCATTCGCATACTTCTTGATTATAATTCCATTCTGGAATAAATGAAATCAGTTTTACTTTTTAAAATCTATCTGTTTTTAATTGTGTCTTTTAACAATAATAGTATTAGTAGTGAAAATTAGAAGTATAAGACATATCTTTAGTTTTGGTCCATCAACAATATTTCAATTAAAACGTTCCTATTTGAATCATTAAAAAATATTGGTTGCCGAAAAAACACTGTACGTAACAAGCCCGGAAACTACGATTTTTTTGTAAATAAACAATGTTTTCCGGACTAGTTACGTAAATAACTATTTATATTTACTTTTGCGAAAAATGAGAAATCTAAATTTTTTATAACAAAGAATTTAACTTTCGTAAAGGTATGTAGGCACTACTAAAAATGGTAAAGAACACATTTTTTAATAACAAGTAATGGACGTTTTATGATTATGCAAAAACGATTTAAATGCTTTAGCTTATTTATGAACCTTAAAGTTTTGTTAAAACTATTTAAATTGTTTTGCAATAACACGTTCCTTGTTGTTTGGTAAATTAAAATAAACAGGCATTAGACTATTCTCCAATAACGAGTTAAGTTTTTTATATTTTAAAAATGTACTGAATTAAAATGATTTTTTCATAAGTACTTCAAAATTAGAATTGTTCAGTAAAAAAGAAAACCATTTATAATATTAAAAATACCTACGTTAAAACTTTTAATAATAAAAATAGTACTAACACTTAACGAAGTCATAACCTTACTTTTTAAATCGAAGAAAGAAGGTGATACACAAGAAAATACAGGCTTACCTGTGTAGTGGAATCTTGCCTGATTGTTTACAATATGTTTAAACCAATTTTAAGTTATTTTGCACTAATAATTTTCTCTCGAATAAACAAAAAAGAACGTAACACTATCAAGGCAATACGTAGTATGATCCGCTTATCTTTTAGCAAAAACGTGTTAACCCTCATAACATGTTTAAATTGAGTAGAGATGGCGCCATATGTCTTACAAATACGTCAAGTCACTTAGCATTTTGTTGAAAAATTACCTATTGGTCTTTTTGGGTTAACATTATCTAAAATATACGAATTTTGCCGTCCAAAATAAATTATATCACCTGAGTTTTTATTGAGAAACGTATAAAATGCCTATAGCAATGACTTGCACTGAATAACTCGTTTTTTCAATTTTTGTGGATTAACACTATATTGCATAACAGTGTCCGTATCTAGAAAATACATATTTTTAGTAAATCTGGGTAGGTAGATAATTACGTCCTTTTAGACTTCGTAAATAAGTTTTGCATATTTGACTAACCTTTTCTCAAACTAATTATAGTAAATATTTTCTAATGTAAATAGGCCTTTATTATTTTGTTTCATAATAAAATGTTAGCATATTAAATTTGTAAGAATCTCGAAATCGAAATCGGCAAGGCTGTAGTCGTCTTGCCAAAAATCCGTCAACCAGCATCATACATTTTTTTACTTCTATTCTAGTTTTTTTCGTGTTTTTATGATTATATATTTACTTGTACAATGTAACACCTAACAAGAAGTGAACTAAATATACTTACATTTAAATATTGGTATCAGGTTGCTGAGGCATCCATCTAACAAATCTTCCATTTTAATTAAATTTATTCATAAACTTATTTACGAAAGCTTCCTGGGACCACTTTTTTTTATATAAAAAAATAAATATCTCGCAATTGTGACTGATTATCTCACAATTGTGAGTAACAACTCACAATTGTAACTAAATATCTCGCAATTAAAGATACAAGTGGATGAAGGGCCTATGTAGCAAAATAATTTTTACGAGATATTTCGTGTTAAAGTTTATTGTTTGGCAGTTATTCCCTAGTACATTGTTTCTTTATCTACTGGCAACTTCTATATTTGATGATATATTGTCACGGAAGTCATTTTAAACGAATTTTAGGTACATAAGCCCTTCATTCACAGAAAAGCACCATTTAAAAAAAAATGTTACATAGGCCTTTCATCCACTTGTGTCTTCAATTGTGACTTATTATCTCGCACTTATTCACTTACGTTTGAATAACATGCAACTAAATTAAGCACATTTGGGACAGCGCGACCGATGCAAGAGATGCGACAGCACTTTTAATACAATATTGTTTGCTGCCTTGATGCTCATCGCTGTCACTTGCATCTGTCTCAAGTTTTCAAATTGTACCTTCAGAAACATAGTACAGGGTGATATTTTTAACAAACAATTAAAATTGTAAATAATCAGAACAGATCCTATTTTTTGTTATAAATTTTATTTTTATTACAATTTAAAATAATTGACTTATTTTAAAAATATTTTTTTTTTATTTTCAATAAATAATTTTAAGGTCATTTTTTCAAACGATATGATGGTTTTCTATATAGTTTTTCCCAAATATAGCCATAGAAAAAGTACAGTTTTCAACTTGTAGTACCATTCCTTGCTCTTTAAACAATATATTATCTCTATGTTTGTCATGAGCACTGGAAAACTTACCGGAGTATTTTTATACCATTTCCATGACAGCCTATTAAAATAAACCCAAGTTTAAGCTTCGTTTCATACAGAAAATATCCGAATTAATATTTACTGGGAAGAGTAAAAACAAATCGATTGTAGAAATAGCAACTAAACATAATATATTTTGCAATTTCTGTAATCGACAGATCTAATTCCATTTAGAATTCATTGTGCACAAATTTCCAAGAACTGATTTTTCTTTAAATCTATTCAATATTTTATAGTCAAACTTTATTAGCTTTTCAAAAAACTGGTTCTATGTAACACAAACATAACAATTAACGGGGCCCTATTCAGCCTTATACATGGTTGTACAGGTTTACAATTGTCAGATAATAAGTCACAATTGCGAGATAGTAACTCATAATTGCGAGATAATAAGTCGCAATTGTGAGATAATGTAATTTTTTATTTATAAAAAAATATCCCCAGGAAGCTTTCGTACTTATTAATTGAATCACAAAAAAATTCTAACAAAAAGTAGGGTTGCCCTAACGTTACGACGCAACTACAACTTGTTAGAAAATGGACAATATGATGAAAACGTGCTAATTCCAATTTCCCAGATTCTCTGTAAATGCGTTGTTTCTCAGACTTATATCTACCGTATCAGTGCAGCGGTTGCATTTTAATAGTAGTTTGTGCAACAATAGTGGATATGATGGCCATATGCACGAAGACGAAATTTGAGCACGACATCGTAGGCGGAGTGCTCAATCATCTGAGTGCCATGTGGACAATCCACTCGAGTCGTACAGTATATTTTTTCTACTACCCATTAACGAAAATATACAAATAAAAAAATATTTTAGGTTATTAAGACAAAATAACTAATTTCAAAATAATTTATGACTTTTAATAATTTTTAAAATAAAATAAACGAAAAAGTAAAACAAAAAAGTTCATTTCATTTTTATCCTATCTGATAATCGAAGCCCAGTCTTCTATGTGGAAGGCTAGAACGCTAACCACAGGACCATCTACTATTTTATTTTGATTGCTTTAATCTCGTTATTAAATTGACTTGATATAGTAATATTTAAATTAAAAAATTATTTATAATTATAGACGAAATAAAAACAGAAATGCTATTATTTATCGATTCTACACAAGAATAACCTATTTTAATGTATGTTTAATCTCAATAACTAAAAAATATACTGACAATTAGTTTGACAAAATAGTAACTTATTTAAAATTTTAAAAATAATAGCAGTCGGTTGATCAAAATATGAACGTTGGATTGGTGGATTTCATTTTTTTGCAGTGTTCTCACTACCTAGAATGGATATGAAATATATTCGTTCAGTTTAAGGTAATAGCATACTTTTTCATTTTATAGTCTGTGCGTAGATAAGGTAATATCCATTTGGGTGTAGAAAAAATAAGTTTCAGCTGGCACCACCATACAGTGAATTTGTAATCAATAATCTTTTGTGAAGTACATAGGTTGTTGATTCGAATTGTTTAATTCGTGTTCTGAAATTTAAATGCTTTGAATCGAATTCTTTTCCAACACTAAATCAAGTGTGAGAGTCATACTTACAATAAACGCAATAGCTTTATTGGATTAATTAACAATTCTAGACTTGAATGAAATAATTTACTCTCAGATTAATTATTATAAATCTTAAAATACAAGATTATACCTACACTTCACTCAACATCTATTTTCTTATTATATCGAAAAATATTATTTAAAGCAAACTCTGCTTTATTTCATTTCATTTCCATTTCCTTGCGGCAGCAACGTAGATATTTTGGTAAAATATATAAATTCGACAGAATAAAAAATATAAAATTAGTATTTAATTATGGGGATAAGCGCTAAGAGTTTCTCATAATTTCATGAAAGAACGTCAGCATCTTTCAGATTGTGAGAAAATATGCTTGAATTAAGTAGTTGTTTTAATTTTGTAAATGGTAAATTTAGAATCTATTCGGTTATTTTTTTTTAATACGAATAAGAAATATAAGTTAAGTCTTTTAATATCAAAGGAACGTTAATTATATACTGGTAATTTAGGGCCCCAAATAGGTAAAGTGTATCTAGCCAATAAAAATAATTGTTTTTATTGTTCTTGGTAATGGGCGTGTTTAGAGAAATTTAAAAATATTTTTTTCTAAAAGCTAGAACAAAATCTAATCTAAAAATATTTTTTTTCTTTTTAAATTTTCAAAGAAGAATTTTTTAAAATTCCAAAAAAGTCAAGCAAATTTGAAACGCCTGGGTAAAGTATAAATAGGATTAAAAGAAGAATCTTTGGACAACTTACTCAAGGTGGATTCCAACATGATTAATGATTTTTTTATATAAATAATATAAAGTTTATTGGCCCCGAAATTCGCAACGTAAAGACGAAAACACTTAAGCTCCAAATATTTCTAGAATTATTGTATTCAAAAAAAATTGTGTTTAAAAAAGAAACATTTTTTTGTTATAACTCAATATTGTTGACATTTTGTTTTGAATATACCTATAAATTAAGTAAAAATTATTCTAATGTAGGTCTACCAAGGAAATGCACTATCATATGTGCGGTTACCATTTGTGATATAAAGCTAGAATTACTCTAGAACACAAAAAATTTATACTGTTATTCAGTAATAAATTAATAAAAAAAAGATTGTATCTTGTAAATTAACAAATTATTCTGCTTTCTAAGGTAATTTCAATTCCGGTAAATATTAAAAGGCTTAAAATGATTTTACATGTTTCCATTTTTTTTAAGGTAGGTGCAAACATAGTATTGCCATCAAAGTGAATAATCTTTCATCTCATTTACATTGTGTGATGTGACAGGCTTCAAGCTTCACATACAGTGAAGTACGAAGTCTCTGTGGCGCTCAAATGGTGAAATCAGAATAAGGGCGCCATTTTTGTTAACACAGTTTGTCCTGCGACCCTGCAGTACACCAGAGTGTACTCAAGATAAACACAGTGGGGTTAAAAATACCTCCAGGCAGTCATCGCTAATGGGGTAGCCACTAAATTATAATAAAATACACTGTTGTCTCTTGCACCTCGTACCCTACGGTACCCTTGAGTTACAGGGTAGACGGCACTACGGTCACTAAAGTCGGCTTCTGGCACTAACAAAACCTTAACTGTGGACGACAGTAGCAGCAGGAGAAGAGAGAGTCTACGGTGGTCAGAAGTCAAGCGCCGGAATTTCCTTGCACCTGCATATTTATGTCCCTGGGCAGACGAACTCGAATGCCGAGCAATTTCGGAATAGGAGAAACCATCTCCAGTTTCGACTGTTTACAAGTGACGAAATAAAAGAACGTCCTTCTGTACCTTGCCGAATAACCTTAGATAATTTACATGAAACTGAATCTTCATATCCGAATTTGGATTTCGGTAAATACGGAAATATTTTAAAATACGATATGTACATATATTTTGCAAGTATACAATATGTTAAATCTGGTTGTGTAGAAATGCTTAAACAGTGTAGAAAACTTTTTTAAAATGTTTTATTTTTATATTTCAAAATATAAAAACATTATTTGTCAGATAATAAATAGTAGGTTGTGCAACAAGAGTGGATATGGATAATCCGTTCGAATTTAACAGTATATTTTTTCTACGGCCCACTAACTAAAATCTACAAATTTTAAAAATTATTTTAGGTTATTAAGACAAAATAACGAATTTTAAAATAATTTATGAATTTTACTAATTTATAAAAT